TGTTATTAATTGGAAAAAGAATGTTTTTTTCTAATTTGTCAATACTATTTATAACTTTATACATTTTACTAATTTTGTACACTTTATCTTCAAGCATTTGATTTGCTTTGTTAGAAGCATTAATCACTTGATTTTTTTTATTTTAGGTTCGTATTGAAAAGTACTCTAAGATCTTATTCTGTATCTGTCTCTATTAATAGAATACTATTTAAATCATATAGATAGTTTTTGTTATTCTGGCTATAATGCATAACTACACATTTTGATATGTTAAACAGAAGAAGCTAAGTTTGAGGCCACTTGTAGACAATATCTAGATTATTTTGAAGATTAGCAGCGCATAGCTCTGATGATAATTGAGAAAGTACTTTTGTTTCATCAGCATATAGTTTGATTACAATAACCAATTTTTTTTGGAAGGTCGTTAATGTATAAAACAAATAAAAGTTCTGCAATTACCAAACCTTGTCGTACACGACTAAAAATCTTAACCAAGTCAGAAATAATTTCACCTTGAACAACTTTTTATCCTCTGTTTTCTAAGAAAGCTGCAATCCATTTAAGTAGCAAACCATCAAAGCCATATGCTTTTAGTTTGGCTAACAGTGTCCTGTGCGGAACTCCTGTGTCGAAAGCTTTAGCAAAATTTAACAAAGCTACATCAGCTGGAAAACAAAAATCTAAGGTTTATGAAATGTAGTCAATGCTATCTAAAAGATTAGTGGTACATCATTTGTTTCTAACGAAACCATGTTGCTCTTTTGCTAGTAGATCATTTTTATGCAGGTACTTTTCTATTTTAGCTGTAGTTAGACTTTCCATAATTTTACATGAAATAGAAGTCAATGAAACTGGACGATAATTGCAGGGAAGAGTCCTTTCTTAAAATAGGGCGTTATGTTCGCTGATTTAAATTGAACTGGAAGCTGACTAATAGTTAAAGATGCCCAAATAATCAATGTCAGAGGAATAGTAAATGCTTAGCACAGTTCTTGAACAGAAATAGATGCATATTATCAAATTATCCAATTTGCTTGCTGATTTTACTCGAAAGACCGCGTGGAATATATAACCTCGCTTAGAAAAGTCAAGAAACAACTAAAAAATTAAGAAATTGTGTATTTCAAAGAATACAGAACCGTAATAAACAAAACGAACAATAGGCGTAACAATGCGAAACTATGCGCACTAATAATAATAACAATATTCATTGCGCTAATTATATTAAGATTGATACATTTTAAATTCCATGCAATATTCTCTTAGTGAAAATAGGTTATGATCTTATAAAATTTGTACCCCCCTTAAAACTGAGGGAGGTTGAATCATTATTATAAGCCTTCCCGCATGTCTTTTTCGTCCGCGTAAAAAGTATTTTATTAAGACAAGCAAAAAAACTGACCACGGCAGTTGACAACTTTTAACTATTAAAGCATTTCATTAATGCGCAAAATTTATTGATGTTTATTGTTGAATATAAATCTAGTAAAGAATAGTACAAAAAATTATTTTAATTTCTTGTTCATATCACGTTTGAGGCAGAGGGGACAAATATTTTGATGCATTTTTGTGCCCAGGCTCCAATTATAGCACTTCTTTATGAGGTATCCTAAATTGACACAAGTATAAACATATAAATGTTTGGAGTTTGCTCTCTATCTGGAAGTTACTTTTCTCAAAGACCAAAAAATGCTGGATCACCACTTGGGTCGGGGTGGAGTATGTTCACAAGTACAGAATGTATATTGAAAAGTAAAACTTTACTAATTTCGTAAACTATATTACTAAATTAGTGAAGTTATTTTAAATTAATTTTTATTATACTAAATTAGTATCTGATTTTATTTTTGGTAGGGTTTAATAAACGAACAGTCAGATTGTCTGTAAAATTTTAATCTTTTTTATCTTCATGAAATGGTTATCATAGCATTCCGATACGTATTGGCATTTTATTGTTTTGCATTATACCTTTTGAAAGCTATAAATTCATCCGAGCTCCTAAATGTTTCGTATCCAGCAGCGATGGCTTCAACAAACGTTTCAACAAAGTTTTAGCAGGCTTTTGAGGTAAAGAATGATGCCTAAATGACATCCTCTACTACGTCAAGGAACTAATCAAAAATAGTGGCGGCCAATTTCCTTGAGCTTGCTGGAAAAGCTGGAACCATTTTTAATCCACCAAAATTTCAATTTATTTAGAGAATATTGGACATTTGCAGGTTTTGAATATTTGATAATGGAGTTGAACTATTGCCTAAATATTTCGATGCCTTTAGATCATTTCTAACACCATCCTCGACAATAGACATCTGATCTTGGTTCTGACTAGTGAAGCAAGTATTACATTACGCGTAATTTTGAAAGACTGTCCTCATTCAGGTTTCTCCTTATCTCTAAATCAAAGCTCTATTGGTCGGATAAACTTAATACTTCCTTCAATGCGTAGATAGAAAAAATCATTAACACATTTTTAGAAGGAAAAGATCATCAACACATTTTTTAAGGTTCCAAAGCTTGACTTTACCAAAAAGATCTGTTTAAACCAAGGGTTTAATAACCTTCTGTTAGTAACTGACTCTAAACCGTTTGTCAAACTTTTAAAAGATAGGACCCTAAATAAAATTGCCAACACACTACTCTTTTGACTAAAACAGTGAACCTTGCTATGGAATATTATTATCCAGAAATAACCAGAAAAAACAAACCTAACAATGGATGCTACTTCTCGTTACCCAGTCCTAGCACAAATATCAAAGACGGTGGCCCTCAGTTTACAGCTTGAAAAACGAAAGAGTTTCTACAACAATGGGTATTACTTATTGCATTTCATTAGCCTATCACCCACAATCTAATGGAAAAGCTGAATTTACAGTAAAATAAAAAAAAACCTTTTCAAAAATAACGTGATATGAAATGGTGAATCTCAATAATAATGCTTTTTTCTGGGTAATGCTAACAAAAAGAGACGCACCAGACCCTACTTGTCAGTTGTCCCTAGATTAATGCTTAGGTTAAAAACCAGAACACCTATGTTTTATAATGACCAATTCTAGAAACTGTGAAGACATGCATTGCTGCGAAAGAAGAAGCGTTAAGAGCAAGATGTGCAAGATTAGGAAGACAGTTTTTTTTATACAAAATTAAGTCGGAAACCGCTTTGAAAAATTTTAATAACAAATAAGTTATCAAATTGGAAAGTACAGGTTGATTAACGGTGAGAAATAAATTTTTTTGAGTAATTTGCACAACCCACGTCACCTAAGTTACAAAAAATGTCCCAGAAAGTAGCATTAAATCATACCTTCCAAACAGAAACCATCACCATTTGCAGTATTACTACCGCCTCCCACACCAGTTTCAACAGTACCACCTCCACCTCTAACAACATCACCACAACCCATATGGTAATTTATGACAGCGTCTCTATCTACAAACTCCCCGCATTTAGCATTGACATCTTTATTGTACATCAATGTGGTAAGAGATCAACTGTTGAACCGTTCAACAATGTTACGTATCCCTAGCTAATTCCATCGACCAGAAACCGGGAAATCTTTGAAGCTAGACGATTTTAAGAAAAGAACCTGAAAGTTGTGTTTAATTTCATTGGCACTAAAAAACATAGAAAGGGATGTTGAAGTATGACATAACATATTTCTTGCAATATTTAATTTTATATTGAGGCCGTTTATGTTTATTGCTATTCTATTTATAGAAACTAACATTGTTTGAGACACTTAATGTTATATGGAGTAACAACTAACTTTTGTTTAATTACTTTACTTTCATCATAGTTATCACTTACAGAAAATATATTTTTGGCGCAACCATTTGAATATCCCATGGCGTTTTTTCAATGATCAGTCGCTATACAACCATGTCAATTATTATTTATGCTGTTAGTTGATTATTCTAAGCTACTTTTTAAAATATTTATTTTTGTTTTATAAAATATAAAGTAAAAAGACAATTTTGCATAGAATCAAAGAATATAAATAATAGTATAAATTCCCCCACACGAACACTTAAGCTTATACACCCCATGATTGCTATATGTTGTTACAGAGAATTATTTATAAAATAGTTGGTGTTCTAAATATAACTATTATTATACATGATTTTAGCTCTTTGCGTCTTTTTGGCCCAAGTTTGATAGCCAAGGTAATTTTATTATTGCAACATGCAAATTTTTTTGCAACATTTTTGCTTGGATTGTTTTTACTTAAAAGGAGTTTTGCAGCAATTACTTCTAGGTCTGATTTCAACAAACATATCTATTATAAACAGAATCTCGTTGGTAATGTATTTTTCGGAACAGATTTTAGTGTCTGATGATTTGAAACTTTATAAAACTCCAGTGATAACTGCAGAATCGATGTTTGAGTTTTATTTAAATGTTTGTTATTGGCTTTTTTTAAAAAAGCAATAGATACGGCTTTTTTTCCCCTACATATGCAAATACATATATATACATAAATATATATATACATATATATATATATATATATATATATATATATATATATATATATATATATATATATATATATATATATATATACACACATATATATATATATATATATATATATATATATATATATATATATATATATATATATATATATATATATATATATTTATATATATGTATATATATATATTGACTGTTTCTCCTTATATTTTCTCCTTGAAGATTCATTAGAAAGAATGTCTAAATATCAAAAACATCGAAATTAAAAAAAATACTTTTTAGTAAGTTGGGAATAGCTATAATTAATTTTATAATAACTTTATTTATGTTAAATAAGTTTTAAATAAGAAATCCTTAGATTTAATATAGTTTTAGTTTGGTCATTTGTTTTTATATTATCTTAAATAGTGTTTATTTATTGGGAATAAATGTAATTCATTGTATAATAACTGTAGTTATTTTTCAACCTATAAGTTACATTAACTTCATTAAATTTTTGTGTTTACAAGACTTTATTATATTTTAGAGTACATTGTTGGCAATTTTGTTACTCCATTAGTAAAGGGAAAACTAATTGCAGAGATTCCGGTCCTAGATAAAGAGTATTTTGTTTCTCTTGATTTTAATCCTACTAAATTTGATTTTGGTTTACACAATGTTATTCATTTTACTATTGGTTCTAATTATTCTAATAAGGGTGATAAAACACCCGGAATCTGGTCAAATTCACAAGGTAATGGCGCACTTGAAATAGCATCTTTAAATAATGGAAATGTGTATGAACATACTTTTTCTACAAATGCATTTAAAGTTAATCAGTGGTCAAATATTGTAATACGTCAAATTTTCAATGGTTCTTTTTATGTATACACAATCATTATTAATGAAAAAGTTGTCTTTTCTATAACAAACTATCAAGCTACTAGCTTTGGTAATGTCAAAGTATATGCTTCAAATCCTTGGACAAAAGCTCAAAATGGTTTAATAAAAAACTTTTTTGTTGTCAATGGAAATTCAAGTAAAGTTTTTTTTTATACTTTTCTATTGAAAAATTATTACTTAAAACAAAGTATTTTATTTAAAATACAAGCATAACAATAATATAAACTGGTATTAATATTATTTTTAATAGTTCTAAAAAATTGTTTTGTTTAATCAATTGAAATTCTCGTTAGTTTTCTTGTTTAAAACATTTTGATATATAATTTTTTGCAGGCTTCGTATAAACTTAATAATAATTAATAACCGAAGTGTTAAAAATATAAATGTTTATATTATTATTACTTTATTACTATTATGTATTAAGTATTTAATTTTTTTTTTTTTTTTTTTTTGCGTCAGCAAAAGAAATGAAGCCTATTGTAATCATAACTGAAGGTATTTTTTTCTTGTTCAGACAGTATATAGATTATACTTAACTATATATTATTCAAGGTTCTGAATATTTCTTAAAATAAAACAAAAATCTTTTGTATGAAACTTTTGAAAAATAATTGTTTTTAAAGATGATTGTATCTAATTTTTGTGTGTTTCTGATTGCTGTCTCGTATAAATAAAGATGTTTTTTTATCTGTGCTTTACCTTCGAATAGTTATTTTCACTGCTGTGGTATTAACTCATTTATGAGGGCCTAAAACTCAGTTTAACCCTTTTGCTAAGGCTTTTTAAACAGAAAATTAAGATTGAAACTTGAAGCTGTAAGGTTTGAAGAGGTAATATATGATATTTTGAATTAATATTGCGAATTGTAACAGTGAGAGAGAGGGGGATCTGGTACACATATGTGCCATTAATATTAAAAATCAATTTCTTTTGTTTTTAGGTTAATTTTTAACAAAACACGTTTCTTTGAGAATTTTATTATGTTTATTTCAATTACCACACTAAAATTACAAATGAACAATCTTAAATGGTGTTTCTCTTTTTATTGAGAATGGTCAAAATCAATTAAAACGTTTATGGTACATTAATAAAATTTTCAGGACAATGTTTTCATTTTCAAAAAAGTACATAAAAGCACCAATTGCAAAGGGGTTAATGGTTTTTAACCAAACTGGTTTTTGTTTTTGAGATTAACTGATTCTTGCTTTCCTGCGCAATGGAAAATTGTATTCGTATATCAAATTTTAAAATCTTTTTAGAACATTCTGACTCAAAAAAATTTCTTATCAGACTTTGGACTATTATTATCAAAATCATTATTTAACAAACATTTAACATCTTAACTTCTAATAACTTATTCTCTGATAATCAAAATGGTTTTCAATTTTCTTATTTTACGGTTGATTTATTAACTAATATAAATGAAAGATTATATTGTGCTTTGTATGGGGCGGCAAGTTAAACCTATTTCTCTTTTGTCCTAGTTCTCATTGTCCTAGTTTTTTCAAATCTACATTCATAATCTTTCTGACAATCTCACTCTTAAAGCAACTTTAATTGCTGACTACTGAACTTTTATACTCCTGTCTAGACAAGAAGTCTTCTCTTTTTGATTGCCTGGAACAGATAGATGATGTTAAATCTGATCTCACTCCTGTAAGATTTTAGGGCTTGCAGTGGCTTGTGAATTTTAACAAAAATCATTTTCTGCAAATCAAGAAAGTTAAAATCAAACACTGCAAACTTGTAATAAAATATTTTCAAATGTTATATTTAGAGTGGCTCTTATTGTTGACAACTGAACTTTTTTTGACACTCAATCAATCAAGTTTTTTATCCATTGCAAGTATAGCTAAGATAGCTACTCTTTATCATGCTTCTTTATTATTTCACACCTCAATCCTTGACATCTTTATGTAAAGGATTGAGGTGTGAGAAAAGAAAATAGATGAATAAAGGATTTAAGAGCATGGAGGGACAAATATATTAAGTTGATGCAACTTTGCAGAATAACTTGTCAGGCAAGAATGAGTTTTGGGTTATAATAGCTTCTTTGAACAGTGATTATGATTATACTTAAAGAAGTAAAAGAGATGCAACCTTAAAATGATTGAAAAATGATTCAAGCTTGGCTAAAAGAGTAGGTCCAACTGCGTTTACAATGCGTTTTTGGACCTTGTTTAGAAGAGAAAGAGAATCATTAAAATTACTCAACCAAATTTGATAACAATGTTTATACAGGAGTAAATAGGAGATTTGTGGTAGTAGAGAATGGAATCAGGAGAAAGATGATGACAATCACAAAAGAGAAGCAATCTTTGTTAATCAAAGTTAGCATATGCTAACTTTGCATTGTGGGTAAATATGGTTTTTATGAGAGGCCAGTTGTGAATGATAACTCAAGAAAACATAAAGAGGAGGACTCAGTGAGGTAGTTGTCGTTCATTAATATTGACAGTATTCCAATAGTTGTTTGCAGTCAATAACTGAGTTTTTTTGAACTTTAAATTTAAAAGCCAATTCAAGGCCTTATTTGTTGCAAAAGTGAGATCAGGTTCAAGATCGGCTGCTTGTTCGAAATAAATTTAAATATTTTTTTTTATTAGGACAGGATTATAAAGTTGAGTTGTCAGCAAATAGAGCTACCTTAGATGTAAGATTTTTAGAAAGATCATTAACGCAGGTAAGAAATAATAGAAGACATAGAATAGAATTTTGAATTCTCCTAAAAGTTACTAAAAATAAATAAAAAGTTGACCTTCGACAATGACACTAGTAAAGCGTTTAGAACAAAACGATTTAACAATCTTAAAATCTTTTACTTTTTAGCCTAACAGCCAAAAACTAAATTAAATAGACAATACCTCTCCCAATTTCAGATCATTTGTCAATTAATGCAAGGCTAATAAAGACACAAAATAGCATTTACTTTGCAGTAACTATTAGTGCATTTTTATTTTGGATTTAAATATTATAAGATAATTTTTTTTTTTTTTAAAGACTTTTAACAAATGAAACTCTTTTTAAAGACTTTTAACAAATGAAACTCTGGAAATATTTTTATTTATTTTTATTCGAACTTTTTTTGATTATTTGTTAAGTTTTTTTTTTTTATTTTTAACATTTAGAAAGATATTAAAAAACTTAAATATTTTATGCTGGTTTCTTGCTATAAATTGTTATTGCGCCATATATTTAATGTTTATAAATTATGAATATTGTTATCTCAATCAAGACTCTGATAATAAATTGTTTTACATTAATTACCCTTATAAAATTAGTTAGAAGCATTTTTATTTGGTTAGATAATATTTCGTCTCAATTTGCTTTGTATGAAGTTCGGGAAGTCAAGCGAAAAAAATTAGTTTGAATAATCACTTTGAAATATATTCAAAACAAATTATTTTAATGACGGGGGTTTAAAAGTTTTTAATAACAAATCTAGGTAAAAAATAAATAATTAAATAAAAAGTTCAGCATTAAACATCCTTTTTTTCTTATATTGCAACTGTAAATATTGAAATTCTAACTAAATTTACTTATTATTTAGAACGACTAAGCAATACAAACAAAAAGCTCCTAAAATTATGGGATATTGTGTTGTTTATTTGATAATTGCTGTTAGTAATATTGTTTATGTTGATTATTTTCATTAATATCAAAATAGTCCCAGATTAATCTGTTAGTTGCTTTGTTCATTGTTGCTTTATTTCTAATTTAATTATCTCTAAGTATAAATTTATGTTAAAAAAAAATATATATTTTTTTTTCATCGCTCGCTTTTTTTATAAAAGAGAAGAACAAGATAAGAGAAATAAAACTTTTCTTTGAATAAATAAAAATTGGAAGAAAAAATTGCTTGAAAATTTGTATTTGTTGTGTTTTAAAATTTTTTTAATTTTTCATGTTAAGAGACAAATGCCAAATACGATACAAATTGGGAAATACCAAATATAATAAGTTTTTTAACGCGCGTTATGACACTTTGACAATTTAAATTACAATTTATCTTGAATTATTGCCATTAATAAATTTGTTAATTATTGCGTTATATAAAAATAATTTGTCCGTAATTTTGTTAAATATTAATTGTATAAAACGGGCGAAAATATACAAACTTCATGTTTTTATTTGATGGTTATAAAATATTGAACAGTAAACTAATATTCAATATTTATAATGCAGATTTGTGTTTGTTATTAATTGTACTTTTAATGCAAAACCAAGATCTCACATATCTTTTTACGAATTTGCATATCTGATACTACTGTCAACTGTATTGTTTAGTGTATTCTTGTACTTTTTTTTCATAACCTTAACAGGTTCTAATTGGTATGGAGTTGCCAAAATTTTAAGAGGTTTATTATCAAAAATCAAATGTAAAATAAAATGATATTTCCTTTCTATCCGTATCCAATTTAGCAAATTTAGCATTTTAAAATAAATCAGCGTAATCAAAATATTTTTATAATAAAAAAGTTAACAATTCATCATATATCTCTAATTAATACTGTAAGTTAATGAAATTATTTGTTAATACTTTTTTTCGACGGGAAAACAAAAAATATCATAGCGTAAAAATAACCAGAGAAGTTAGAAAAAAGTTTCTATTGTTTAAATAAAAATAAGTAAGATTCAGAATATATAATACTGCGCTCTCGTGCACAAAAACGAAAGATCTTATACATAACGTTCTATATATTGTAAAACACTTCTAATTAAATCATAAGATTCGTAAGTAAAGCTTTAATATTTGTTTTAATTTAAAAACAAAAGAAATATAAGTAAGATATATAAATCTAAAAATTAGTGAGATATCGGTAAAAAAAAAAGTTCCTCTTATGAAATAAAAAGCTTTTATTATTTTTGATTTTTACAAAAATTTGTTGTAAAAGTTGTTTTGTTGCATGTTAAATTTTTTTTTTTTTTTTGAATTAAAATAGAAAAACGCAGCTTTGTACTTTTCTTTTGTTAAAAATATACCTTGACGTCAAATGCTAAAACTTTTATGAATTAAACGCGCTTCGAAGGAATCGACCAAGTCTGTAGATTGCGACGTATAATTTAAAGACTTCAAGTTATTCAAAAAAATAGAGAAGGCGAGCTTCGGCTAAAATAACAACATTAGTTTTTCTCGGTATGCATTCATTATTTATTTTTAATCAAAAAAACTTGGTTCAAACCTTTTTTTTAAACATTATCTTTAATATGAACACAACATGTGTTGAGAGTTGAAGATCCCTTTATACAGCCAGCCAACTTGTGAAAAAAGTGTGATTGTTTTATGACGATTGGCAAGTTTTTTGCTTTTCTTATAGTTTTTTTTGCATAGATAGCAGGTTTGTTCGTCTCCCTGATCTGTTTTCTCTGTAATTAGGCACATGGTCTACTGCCCTGTCGCTGATTTCTTCATACTACAAAATATAATTTATAGGGCGTTTTAATTTTTTTCGTTGAAGTTTTAATTGAAATTTTAGTTCAAGAATAGTTCTTGAATGTTAGTCATGTCGGTAAAATATTAGAAAAATAGTATTTTATCTTGCGCATATGATTTTCTTTATGCTATTTAAACATGGGTTTTGTTAATTTTGGTGTTCTGCTTTCGAAATCTATATCATTTAAAAGTTTTTACGAAAACATTATTGTTTCAAACTATATTGTTTAACTAATGACTAGATTCAAAACTAAATGTTTTCAAAAGACAAATAAATAGAACTAGACTCTAAGAAAAAACCCGTTTAATACAACGAACTGCATCTGTCGCTATTGTACCAACGGATTTTTAGTTATGTTAACGGATTAAAATTTTACCGGATAGAAAGTTCTTTGCAATTTTAGAATAAACTAGTTAAAATTTTTTCAAAATTTTCAAGTTAATTAATATTTGTCTGTTGGAATTACGGATTTATTCGTTGAATAATTTGTTAAAATAAAGAAATTATTACACTAGGCGGCTTATGTTGTTATTCTTAAAATAAAGAATTTAATACGTCATTGTATTAAATAATTCATTATTTCCTTAATAAGCAAGGAATTAAGCCAGATAGAACTGAGATTTAATTACAAAGTAGCCCTTATTTTAACATATAGGTTATTTTATCAGGAAACGAAGCTAATATCTTCAATTATCTCCATACTATCATGTTTTTCAAAGTTACTAGAGCATATTATGTGTAAAAGAATGTTTTACTTTATAGCTGCAAACAATATTCTTTATAATAAGCAAATTGTATTTAAAAAGAATCACTCTACTGATCAAGCAATTGTTCATCTTGTTCAAAATATATTTAAATAGTTTAATGAAAATAAATGTACATTAGGTATATTTATTTATCTAAGTAAGGCTTTCGACACTGTCAATCATTTCATTTTATTAAAAAAAATAGAAAACTATGGTGTAAAAATTAAAAATATTTCATGGTTTAGAAGCTATCTGACAAATAGATCGCAAAACATTTCTTACAATAATGGTAAAACGAACGATATGAAAATAATAAAAATAATAATTAAAACTTCATAAACTCTGTGTTGACAATCAAGACGTAAAAAGAGAAATCACTTTGAAATTTCTCGATGTTCAGCTTGATGAAAATGTGACGTGGAGATATTACATACATTATCTCGAAAGTAAAATCTCTAAGAACATCGGTCTGATTTGTAAAGCAAAACTTTTTTTAAATTTATATTTCTTAAATTTTTTATATTTCTCTTTTATTCATTGTCATCTAAATTATGAAAACTTGCTTGGTGCAGTACAAATAAAAATGAAATTAAAAAACTTTTTAATAAACAAAGAAAAACATGCAATCAGAATCATATCCAATGTGGGACGTTTTACACATTCCCAGGCATTGTTTATTAAGCTAAATATAATGATTATATATATAAGCATATATAAATAAGCATATAAGCATATATAAATAAGCCTCTATCATCTTCTTATATTTATGTTCAAAATTGATAAAAATTTATTTTAAAATATTTAACATGCTATTCAAAATAAATCAAAAGAGATACTTAACCAGATACTTGTATAACTTAAGTGTAACTAGCCTAAATAAACACGCATCAAAAGAAAATTGCAAGTTAAACATATTAAAACTGATTTATATTATAACTGATAAAACTTACCATCAGATATATAATAAATTGGTTAAACTAGTATAATTGGTTTAAACTAGCCAGGCTTTGAAACAGCTCCGGAGCTGGAGCTGGAGCTATACAAGCTAGTGATTTTACATTAAGCTGAGCCGGAGCTGAAGCTAAAGTATATCAAACCAAAGCTGGCTACATAGCCAGCGTCGAGCCAGCTCCACCCTTTTAACAACTTAAAATATCAAATTTCCATAAAGTTATTTTTTTAAATAATGAGATAAAAGAAATTAAAGAAATTAAACAATTACGCTCATTAAATAATTATAATTTCTGTACAATGCATTTTTTCATAAGATTTATAAAAAAAAAAGAAAAAAAGTTTCTCTTCAGAATTTATTTTTTATCCAATTATATTGTGTAATATGTTATGTGGTTCTTATTGTAGAGTATGATAAGTATAAACAATGAGTATAATACTTATAAACAATGTTAATTATTGGTTATGGGACCGTCCATAAAGTACGTAAACTTTTTTTTATCTCCCTCCCCTCACCATCCTGTATTTTGCTTTACAATTATTTGAAATTAAAAGGGTTAGCACTTTTTTTACCTAAAAGTACCCACCCTTTTAACCAACCTACTCAATTTTTTATGATATTTTTTTTAATTTAGTGTCACCTTACTTTTATAATTGACCCATATACCCCATTCGAGTGTACATTATGTATGATCTTTTTAGTACGTACTTGATAGACAATCCTTACCAAAAAAATGCTTTGTCAATATGTTAAGTGACATGGTTTGTTTTATCGTTTTTAATTTGTATAAACAATTTTAAAATAGAAATAAATATGTGAGTTCCAAATAAAGTTAGGAAATTATTAAAACGTTTTTTTTTTTTTTTGATATTATTGATATTATTTTTGTTTTGTACTATATTTTTTATTATTTCTCTTATCTTTAATATTTTTATTTTATTTTATTAGTATTGTTTTTTATAAAAATAGCTTCAAACTCAAACGATTCTGAGAGGTTTCTAGATAAATATTTTTCAAATGATAAAACTACAAAACTGGTTACATGAAAGATTATAGAAAAATTAAACGATAAAGTGATTTCATGCGCCAATCAAATAAAAAAATCACATCAATCAGAATATAAAATTGTTGAATCTGAAATGAGCCATATTGCCCTAAAAAAATCTTAAAAATTATTTTATTACATTCACAAGATTTCAATACTAACAAATTCTAAACAGATTACTTTAGATTCTTTTGTTATTGCTAGTAGTTGAACAATAAATCAAATTAGTGCAAAAACTTTTAAAATTGGAATTATTAAAATGGTAGTGAATAACAGAGTTTTGTTGAAAACATTTGTGGATGATGGATTTCAGATGGTTACAGGCCAATTAGGTAAAACTCTTGGATTCAGCACCAAATACAATTCTGTAGGCGATTTGATTAATGAATTTGCTGGGAAAAAAAAAAGCTGAAGTTAAAAAAATATTATTACTGACACTTTAATAGCTATTTTGAAATAAATATTAAATTTTATTATGCAAAAAAAAATTACAAGTTTTGGCACTAATAGATACACAAGGACATCACAACTCTATTTCTATCAAAAAAATTGTGGAAGATACTCCATATAGATTTGGTATCAGCAATAATCAAATAGTATGTGCAAGTGTAGACATTGCAGACAATATGAACAGAGCAAACACAAATTTAAACAAATAATCTGGGGATGAAAATTTTTTAGATTTGCATGATTAAGAAAAGTGAAATTTTTACAAAAAGATACAAATAAAGAAGTAAAAATTTTGCTCGTAATATTTGGTTCCTTTCAATAGCATGTAAATTTTTTTTTAAATCATAATAAAAGTTAGCTGCAAAATGGGAATAACACATCACATCAGTCTAAAATCAGTAGACAAATGTGCTGTGTTATTCACACTTTGCAGCTAGCTTTTTTATGATTTAAAAAAAACATACATGCTATTGAAAGAAACCAATTATTACGAGCAAAACAAGGCTTTAAAACAATAGCAGAAGAAAAATTTATTGAAGCAATGTCAAAAATATAATATAAAGTCAAGAAATATGAAATACTACAGTGCTATTTACACTACTTCTTTCAGTTTTAAGTGAATCTTATTCCGATAGAGAAGAGGATGAGTTTGAAAAGGAGCATGATAAAAAAGAAAAAAGGAGAAGTGTGATCGAAATTAATTTCAGTCACGTTCCTTTGTTTAATTTTTTCAATAAAAATACTATTAGTACAAATTTTTTGAACGACTACTGGATAATAGAAGAAATGGGATGTTCAAAAGTAAAATCAGCTTTTGATTAAATTGAAGAATATCCCAAAAAGAATACAAGAAACGTGCAGAGTTGTTACTTTTATACCCATCTCACAAGCAAGTGTAGAAAGGTTATTTTCTACACTTAAGGTGGTAGACTGCTAAAAAAATTATTTTTTTATCTAACAATATTTTAATTGACTTTTTTACTTCAAATATTATAATTACATTTTAAAAAATGTAATTTTTTTTTTTTTTTCCCCTCGTAATATTTGGGCAAAAACTGGTGGTTTCAGGCGTAAAATATGCTAAAATCTTGGCAAAGTTATCTCAAAAAGTATAACGTATTAAGTTCTAATTTTTTGCAATTTTATTCTTTTTATATATATAAACGTCCTGAGATAAAAATTTTTGCTAAAAATTTCTTTATTTTAAAGCATGTCAAAATTTTTTAATGTGCCTAACTAAAAATCTAATTTTAGATATAATAAACCAAAAAATTGTTGTTGTTTTTAAATATGTTTTCTTAATTTTTTTTTATCTCAAGACATAAAGCCTATTTTAATGAATCTCTGTAGAAAATTTGAAATCAATTGGACAATTCCAGTTCTTGCAATCTTCGCCAGAAAATAAGAAGTATAAAGCAGAGAAAAATGCATATGAAATTTAAAATATTGAATATACAAACTTATTAAAACAGGCTAAAATCCCCTTGTTTATTTAATTTTTCTCTTCATCATTGTAATTATCATTGAGCCTTTTGCAAGCTTGTCAAAGATTTTTTCTTTGTTTTTAATTTTTTTATAAATTTCTATTCTTAACTAGCCGTTGCTATAAGCGTTGCTAGGGGAAACAAAATTACTCTGCTTAAATAAATCTCTTTTATAAGTTCTAAATTTATTTTTCTCTGATGAAGATTTATATATTTTTAGACTCTGCAACAGTTACTGTTTAAGATAATGCGTCTCTTGAAAGATCGATTTTTTCTAACATTTTTAGTAGTCTACCACCTTAAGTTTGTATCAAGCGATCTGCGTTCTTCACTCAAACTTGTTATTTTAGATTTATTTTTAGCAATAAATCTTTTTGATTAACAAAACGATCAAGATTTTGATTAACAAAACGTTAACCTAAGTTACTTTCATAAAACATTTTGATTTTTTTTTTATGCGGAACTGGTCCTGAGCTGCTCCGGAACTGGAGCTGAAGCCAAAAATTCTAAAGAACCTGAAACCTGGAGTCGTAGCGAGTTTTTAGACCTCCAGTTCAAAGCCCTGAAACTAGCTCTATCTTAAAAATATCTGTAGCTAACCTAAATAATAGTTTCCATTGAAAGAAATGCTAACATATTTATTTTTGCAAGTGTTTTAAGTTTATATCGTATGTTACTACATGTCACGCCTAAAAGTAAATTACACAAGAGTTTATACTATTCATATAGCTCAGAAGCGGATCCAGGCTGCAGCAAGTGCAGAAATTGCTACAGTCAGCTCAGTTGTTTTTTCTCTTTTTATTTTTTATATACGTTTATTTTTTTATGCAAAAGAGAAATATAATTTAAATAAGATAAGGAAGTAACAAGTAGTCAAAATGCGGAGCTTCAAAATCATAGCTGAAACAAGGTGACAGTTACTTAAATGTTTCATTTACAAAATTAAAATATTTCACTGAAATACTCATGTTTTTAACAGGTTTTTTCTTACGTGTCCAAAATTTTTTAAGAGATTGTTGAACATTTAGCAGCGTATCAACTTAAATTGAAAGTCAAAGTATTGTATTTTGTAACAACTCTAAATATACCCCCAATAATTTATTATACATTGAGGCTATATAGCTAAAATCTTTTTATTAACAAGGAAGTCTTATGTAGAGACTAAAAGTCAGTACCGAGAACTTGTAGCAAAAAAAAATTGTGTAGCAAAGACAAAAATTCTGTTACAGATCCACTCTCCGTTTATAAAACTTTTTTTAACGAAGTGGATATTAATCATTAAACAAAAATGTTTTTTTATTACAAAGACTAACTTAAATAGCACCGTCTGTTGGTTTATTTATTTAGTCTTATGAAAATAGTAAAATTTGTTTATGTTTATGAAAAGCGGTGAAATATGTTTATTGATATTCTACGAGTTATAATGTTAACGGTAATACCTAGTTTTAAAAAAACGAAAGCATAGTTGCAATGCTGTGAAAATACATTTAAAAAACAATATAAAAGTAAAGCAATACACATATTACTTGACACCTGTAAAGTAATACACATATGACCTTACAACTTTAAAATATTTTTAATTCGTAAATGAATAAAAATCGTTTCAATAAAAATTATAGATTTCCCATTTTATTCTAAAATTGAATGGAACTTTCAAAAACTTTTTTTTTAGTTTGGAATCTTCTACAAAGAACTTTTATTCTTTGTAGCAAAGAGTATGTTACAAAAATGGTATTTTATCAGAAAGTTGATGTTTTTGGAAAGCCAATGACGTAAATGGTTTTTCGTAAGGTGTGTTAGATGTTGTAATAACTTGCAATACAAGTTATATGTTTGATAGTCCTAAACTTCTTTTTAAAATGTTATGTAAACATGTTAACAAAGAAACTCCTAATTGTTATATGATCAAATTCATTTAACTTTGGAATCAGTTAGAGAGTCAATTAACAGAGCAGAGGCATATGTATGTGATAAAAATCTTATTCTAACATTTGATGAAAAACCTTGATTAGCTACAGATGGAACTCTCTAGTTTTTTGATTTTTGTCCACGTTATCAATTAAATGTAAAATAATAGACTCAGAAAGCAAAACTTATTTTACTGGTAATTCTTACAATGTTCTGCTTAATCACCCTGAATCTTCTACTATTTCAAACGTAAACAATACCGGTGATTTTATTAAACTTGGGTTCACATAATGGAAAACTTTAAATCTAAAAAATGCGGGCATATATTTTATGTTCAATATTGTTCAATAAACTTTCTCAGAGATCTAAATATTAAACAAAAAAAATTTGTTTTTTATGTTTGCGATATAGCATTATGAATGAAAAAACTCAGAATTAGGCATAAAATATCAAAACATGTCGCAGGACTATTCAAAAATTATGCACGTGAAGAAATATTCTAGCTAAATAAAACGCTATTATGAGATACACTTTTGTTACAAAAATTTTGTGTTAGAAAATTTTAATACAGAAATACTTGAAACTTAGAAATTTGAGAAAAATATTTTTAAACATGTTTTTTAAGTGCTCTTTGAAATCAAAGAAGTTTTTTTTTTACATTTACATGTATTTGCTTAACAAATATGAAGATTTGACCAATATAATATTTTATTTTTTTAAACTTCGGTCAATATGCAAAATCATTTGAAATAGGTGGATTAAAAAGTCGATTTTACAATACTGTTCAATGGCTTTTCTTTAATTTGATTAAAGAAAATATTTATAAAATAAGATAAATTAAAAGATAAATTAAATTTGTTTAACTTTCATATTTATTACTTTCTTTGCTTCAACCCTATATGGTACACATTAAAAAAAAAAAAAACTAAAAAATGTTTCCTTCAGTATTTACATCTTATATGGGATATAAATTAATGTAATAAACATTGTTTTTGTTTAAAATTTCAAAATAATGCTTTTGTAGCTACTTTTCCAATTGGCAACAATGCGCGACTAAGGGTAAAATTGTTTTAATGTTACCAAATGGCAACAAACCTATTGGACAGACAAACAAATAAAAACTAGTAAACACAATGCATAAAAAAACAAATGGTAGACAAAATGCATAATCAAACAAATGAATGACACAATGAATATACAAATTATTTGCAGAAAGATATTTTAATTGCAGAAAGATATATTAATTCATATCAAAATTTAATATTATAGAAGAAAACAACAGGAAAATATGAATGAGGCTACATGATCATTTTATTTTCATGGCTGATGAAAACTTTTGTAGCAATTTGATTTATTAGTGAGGCACAAACGGACATTACATTTCTCACATTTTGTTCAAAAAAAAATTTGCAGCCAGGCAATTTACACCTGCCTTTTTCAGATACTTGTATTGGAAAATGTCCCACATTGTCTGTGCGGATTGAGAAGTTTGGAACAACAGCCGCAGGACCCTTTTGCTTTTTGCACTGCAGTTGAGGCTCAACTTCCAAAGAAGGTTAACCCCTATTCTTTGCCACCATAGTTTTATTCTGTCTCTTTAAGCAAAGAGCAATGTTAATTTTGAATTAAAGCAGTAGCAATTTAGCTGATGGTGGTAGACCTGATTTAGAAAAATCAAAAGCATAGAGAAGCCACCCTTGAACTACAGCCAAATCGAAGATATGAAAAGTGATTCGGTGGTACCACTTTTTGAATCTGATGTGGTTTCTATATAATGCCACCAGGGAATCCAACAGGTCCACACCACCCATAAAGGCGTTGTACAGAATAATGATCGAAGGGCAGTCCACCTCAATATCCTTGAGGTGGACTGCCCTTCGATCATCGACCTTTCTCTTTCTTGTCCCATTTTCTGACCTTTTTTACTGGCTCTACTGCAGCAAAGGTACTAAGAAGAGTCACAACTTTGTTGTCCATCTACCTGACAGCATTCAGCTGCACACCATCAAAAACTCCGGTTTTCAGTACAACAGAACCTCTTCCTTTTTTTGATAGCTCTTTGTCTGGAGGAAATTTGCATCCTTTTAAACGATTGGGACAAACAGTTCCCACGCTTGCTATTCCTTCTTTCTATAATAGCACTTGGAGGGGAATAGAAGTGAACCAATTATCGAAAAATACCTGATGCCAGCAATGTCTAGGAACATCTTGCATAAGTCTAAGAACTATATTGCTTGATGCACCCAGACCAGGTATTCCAGAGCAAGTTAAGATTTGGCCGACATAGAACTCAAAATTGTGAATGAGGCTAGTGCTACCCGAGAACACAAAAACTTTGTATCCCCACTTATTTGGCTTTTTAGGATTATATTGTTTAAGTGATGATTTTTCTTTGAAAGGTATGATTTGGTCATCAACGCTCATCATTTTTAATTTTTGAACGCTGTTGACGATGGCCTTGAAAATATCTAAAAGTGGTTTGACTTAATGGAGTTTATCTCCATTGTTGTTTTTACTATTTGAAAAATGCAAAAACCTTTTGATTTCTTCAAATCGTTTTTGTCTCATAGTGTCAGCCACACGAGGAACTCTTGTATCAGGGCTCCAGTACAATTTGGAGCGTGGTAGGTGATCTACACTCATATAAAAGATAATCCCTAGAAACTGTTCTAGCTCGTCCATTGTAATATTGGCAGGTTCATTAATGTCCTGCTGTAAGTTGTACCGGTTAGATTCTGTGACAATGTTCTCAAAGGTTCCATTGTAAATATTTCCCTGAAGTATTCAATTGGCTCACGCAAGAGCCCAGTTTCTTTCTCTGTCCCAATGAAATTTGGTATATCCGAAGACCAATCAGCATGATCAGTTCTTTCTCGCCAAATATGAGGCCTTGAGCTGTTGGCTAACGCTTAGCTGCTGGCTGGAGCATCCTTTTTGGCATCACCATCATCTACAAAAATGTAAATTCATAAAACATTTGAAAATGCTAACCAAAAAAAAATAGCAGTGTTGAGACTAGCGCTGCTTACATTATAGGCCTAAACACAAGATTTTATGGTAATTAGATGGGAAAATTAAATCTAACCATCAGAGTTTGAGATATCAGAACTTAACAAGTTGTGATCCTCTTCAACTTTATCTTCCTCACAAGATAGCTCACTGTCCTCTGAATCCTTGGATAATTCTCTGATGATAATGTTTTTCTTAGACTTTCCGTAGAACGTGACAGGATCCATTTTTATTCTATTATAATACCTATAAAAAAAATGAATTTTTTTTTTAAATTACATCTACAAGAAAAATATAAACAGATCAATGGGGATTCGGCTTAGGCTTGATACTTAGAGTTTACATATTTTTACAATGTAGACCTAAGCCTAAGCTTTTACATGCGCTAACTTCTAACCTACTTTATTACTAAAAATTGACTAAATTGTATTTCTAATTAAATTTATTTTCAGAAACCTTGTGTCAAAGTTACCACATATCATAAATTAAATTATATTCTGATAAAATAAATGATACAAAAATAAAAAATTAAAAGAACCCAATCAATAGATCTATAAAAAGTTGAGGTGCTATATCTTCGAAAAAAGTACCTTCCTGTTGCGCATTGTTGCCTTTTGGCTACACAGCATTTAAACCGTATATTTCAAAATAATATGTATAAAAGTAGTGTATTATAACGTATAAATATATTTGAAGATATCATAACAATGATAATATTTTTTTGAAAGCAAATTTTGATCAAATAAATATATAAAATATGTTTATAAACCGACCTTTTACAAATGATAAAAGAAGGCGCCGTGCTGCTGATTCGTGAAATACAACGCGTTGCTAAAAAAATGTATGCAAAAAGTTGTGACGTCAAATGCAAGAAAAGATGATAAATTAAAGGGAAATCTCTAAAGAATTAATGATATAACAAACAATAGTAGTTGTCTGTTCATTTCTAGTGCGTTGCCATTTGGCTACACTGTACCATATAGGGTTAATGCATTTCTTAATTGAAATTGTGTGTTATCATCACAATATACTTTTCTATAAAAAAACGCTGAAAACCTTATACACCAAAATCAAATAACTATGAATTATGTTAATTTAAATAAAAAATCAACCTTTTTAAATTTGTGTTGTTAGGTTGACATTGTTCACACTTTTGTTTTTATTATTAGCTGAGATATGTTAATTGAATCGGTGTTTTAGACATATACTAATTCATTAACTATACCTTTTTTTTGTTTAGTTACAACTTCAACCTCAACTTATAGTAAGTTAGTTTTACTAAAAATTAATTTGCAAATTAGTTTTTAGATACTAGTTGTATCTAAAAATTAATTTGCCTTTATCATTTTGCATTTTATAAAAAACTATATAAAATATTTAAAAATCTAAACTTCTTATTAATTTAGAGAAAGTATCAGTCATCTCTGTTGCCGTCTTAGTTCCTGTTTTATTTGTTCTTGTTGCTGTTATTTTTGTTATTGCTGTATTAAGATTTTGCAAAAAAAAATCCCAAAGTTCAATAAATTCAAATCTTTACACTATGGAGTAAGTATAAAAAGCTATATATATATATATATATATATATATATATATATATATATATATATATATATATATATATATATATATATATATATATATATATATATATATATATATATATATATATATATATATATATATATATATATATATATATATATATATATATATATATATTAAGTTTTGTTCTTGAATAACTATTAATGACTCACCCATTAAATCTTCCACGCACCATCTTTTCAATGTTTGGGGAGAATGTAACGCATTTGTAAATAACGTATGCTCCTCGAAAGTTTCCATTCATAGAGCAGAAATCATTTTTCTGTAACTGCAAGCTAAAGTCATTAATTGGTTTATCTTTCTTTTGTGTGTGTGTGTGTGTGTGAGTATGGTTTTTTATAATTTTTGCTTGTACAGCTGTAACAAACTATTGTTGGGTTCTACTTGAACAGCTTATTAATTTGATTCAATGGTAGATGGTGGTGCTTAATGTTGATGGGTAGTGTTTATCTATTAAAGGTAAAAGGTTTACCTAGGTTTGTCAAAAGGCTTTAATAATATGGTAAATTGAACCAGGTTTTTGTTTTGGTCTTGTTTTTTTGTATCATTTAAATTTGGGATGTACCGAAGTTTCGGCTTCGGCTTCGGCATGCCGAAGCTTCGGCAATTTTGCCAAAGCTTCGGTTCGGCCGAAGCCAGGTCAATTTTTTGCCAAATCTTTGGCTTTGGCAAAAAATTTTATGTAATTAAAGTTCTAAGCTAATATTGGACAAGTTATAAAAATACGCTAATTGCCAGTGTCTAATTAAGTTATAAATTTAGGACTACAGAGTTAAAGTTAGAGTCTATACCATTTACTTAGTATTATTTACTCCCAAGTGTTTTGTTATGGAAGGGCTATTAATAAATTAGTAAAAATATTTTGAAAATAATAAAAAAATTTAGGGAAAGTCCTCACACACTTTGAAAGCTTATAAGTGTGACTTTAGATAAACTGAATCAGCATTTTTATGCAGAATAAAAACCTTATTATTTAAAACAAATTAAAATTTTTTAAAACCTTAATTTGTATTATGTAACGAATTCGTATTAATTATTGTGTGGGATTACCGAAAATAGAACAAAATTTGGTTTCAACATTTGACCTATAAACCTTAGTAATCTCTCTTTAAAGAAGATTAAAAATACGTTGCTACTATTTAAATTGTGTGTATGTTTAATTTTTAAAAATTTTATTTAACCATATTAATTTTTATTTTTTTAACCATATTTAAAATTTACAAACTTTCATCGTAAATTTACAGAAATTGGTTAGGTGTCACTTATATAGATACAAACTAGTCAATGGAGTGACACATAAAAAACGTAAAGTTCTTAACAACAAAAAGGAAGAAAAGCAAATGAAATATAAATAAGGAGAATAAAAAAAAGAAAAAAAAAAGTCAACAAAAACTAGATAAATTAAAAGAAAAAGAAAAACAATGATAATAATTATCCTTGCCCTTTTATTAACATTATGAATACTTTTAAATTGAATTTATATATTAAGCATGTAAATCTATATTCTATATATAAATAAGTTCTAAATGTTAACTAGCCTTGTACCCCTTCTCCATTTATTATGCCAACGTGTTTGTAATTATCATGCATTTCTAGTTGAGAATGTTAAATACTGAATTTTCTCTGATTTATGATTAAGCAACTCATTCTAATATTTCCTAACAAGGTTACAGCTCTAATACTCAGTTTTTTGGTTCTGAAGCCGGCTGATAGTATAGTTTCCCGAACTCTGTCGTAGCATTCAGAGAGATTAATTTTTTCAAGAGCTGTAAATGATTAGAGTTCAAAAAGTGACATAATGCGTATGAATGTTGTCTCTGTTTGTACTTATTGTGTGCATTGTTGAGGCCACATTGGGAGCCCTGAGTTACGATTTATTATTATTATTTTATTATTATTATTATTGCTATTATAGTTATTATTGCTATTATTATTATTATTATTATTACAACTATTGCTGTTATTATTATTATTACTATTATTATTATTATTAATGCAAAGTTTACCAGACCAGCTTCTTGTGAGACTAATTTAAGTTCAGCTGTCTCATCTTGTCATCTTTGTATTTATTGTAATGACCCATTTATAAGTAAAGACTCCAATAGTCGCATGCTTGACCTGGACATTTACATTTGTAAGAAATAATCCTTTTATTAAAAAAAAAAGTTTCACAGACTATTCTTTTATGTGCATTCGTTATCACCACTGCATTCTATCGCCTTTCTTTTTATTCTATATCGCCTTGAGAATCCCCCTAACATTCGTAACTCTTAGAACTACCTTAATGCCGATGGAGTCTTTTTCCATTATTTTTTTCGTGATAAATTTTTGGAAGAAATTTATCTTCTTAATGCTAAAAAAAGGTACTGTAATGTATCTTTTTGGATTCAGACTTCATTATTCCCTCTCGATAATTTCATGTCAATCCTAAATCTTTTCCATAGTTTTTCTCCCATTGTGCTGTTGCAATTTCTGATCGTAATCATTATTTTTATATTTATCAGCAAAACGTTTCTTTAGTAAATAAACGTCTGTTTTCTACTGCTAGAAATCATTGTAAAATGAGTTTTTTTAACGCCAAGTCCCGCTAATCTCAGGTTACAAAATTTTGTTTTTTATCTCAAAAATTAGGCTTTTGTTTCTTCTCGAGAATTTTTAACAGTATTTATAACAAGAACAAATCTGTTTTCCCACCTCTTTTGTATGAAGTCAAATTGTCACCTAAAAAGACAAGGTTGAATTGCTTGCTAATAACTTCTTATCAATATCATTTCTTAATTCCATTAGTTGTGTTTAACCTAACTTAGCTGCAAACAGGTTAGTCCATTGCCTTTCGTTTTACTCCAAGTTCTGTATTTAAAGTAATTTACTGCTTAGACTCTCCTACAGCTTGTGGTCTGGACAACCTATCTGTTATAGCCTTGCTGAAGTGTTCTCCGGAGCTGTCGTCTATACTTTCAAAACTATTTAATAAGTGCTTGTCAGAGTCATGATTTCTAGCTTTCTGAAGAGTGGTATGTTTTATCTCTGTTTTTAAAAATTCTGCAGCGATCTGACTTAAATATATTATTTTTCTTACAATTGAGTTCTATACAGTATATATCATTGGAAATTGAACAAAATTTTTAATTCAAAAATTAAAATAAAAAAGTAAAAATTGATTACGCCTGCATTATTTCATATTTATAGACAAGTTTTGCCAATTTTTGATATTTGCTCATTAAGCTTATCAACTAACTAGCTATATTGTTTTAGAAGTAAATAAAGGCTTTTAAAAAGATTCAATATCTATTAACGGGCTATCCATTAATTAGTCAACAATTTTTTCGAACTTTTTACCTCCCCCTCCCCTTATCAGCAATTTGCCTAATTTCCAGAGACCCCCTTCCCTATAAAATTATCTCAATATTTGATTTCTTAGTTTATCGTTTAGGTGGTAAAAGATTCGTCTATACCATTTACTTGATTTTCTTACTTAATTACTTAATTTAATTAAAATAATTTACAATTCGAGAAAATAGTTTTTTTTCTCGAATAGTCATGGATGCAAGAAAGTTTCTTGATTCCCATTGTTTAACAGATTGCTGTAAATACTTTGATATTATTCGACTTAACATCAACCCATATCATTATATGCTTTATAGGAGAGAATTGTAATCTTCTTGAATGATAGTGTTTTTTTTTTTAGTAAAAATTTTTTTTATTAAAGCATTATGAAAAAACAACTCAAATAAATGGTTTGGTTGTAACCCTAACCCTAACCCTAATATTTGAAAAATGGAATATTAGTCCTATAAATTTCAGTTTTTTACCATTCTCTATTGTCTTTACTAAAATCAGACTTTTTTGTCTTTATGGTATAAAGCTTTTTACTTGTCTTGATAATTGGATTTTTTGGTTGTTAACGTTGTTTATTTCCTTATTTAGAGTAAAGTTGTTTTCTGCAAATGTATTTTTATGAAGACTTTTGTTATCATTAGTTCCTTATTACAAGCAAAGTCCACATCTACTTTTGCCGTTGAATCATCTTTAGAACTGACATAATCTTTAGACGATGACATTATTTCTGATGATGATGACTAACTCACTGACAATCAAACTATTAGTCATCAAAAAACAGTCTTATTGTCTTGGAATTTGTTATCAACAGACTATGAAGATTTACAAGACAAATCTTTAACATCATGCGATTCATCAAAGATTCGAAGTGATATTTTTGAATCATTTTTAACTCTACTTCTACAAACCATGTGCAATAAGAAAATTCTACTAATTACATTTATTTTTGTCAAGTATCTTTAGTGTTAATAAAATATAAACAATCCGTAAATAAACAATCCGTAAATTAATATTTCCTACTATCCTAGACTTAATTTATATGTGTACGAGCACAAAAGAATAATATTTAACACTAAGTAGAATTTAACAATAACTTTAGAGATATATTTTGATTGGTATATTATAGGAGCACATAAGTGCGTCTTCAGCACGAAAGGGTTAATATGAATTTGAGCAATTTTTTTTATCTTTTTGCAATGTTAAAGCACTTTCTAAAATTTTCTCTTCTTTTTCTTTGTGACTATCAGAAAACTTTTCTGTTACTTTCTCTTGTTTTTCAATGCTATCTTCAATATCAGTACAAGTTAATAACATTGTGGTATTTACTGAATTTACTTAAATAAACTTAAATTTTCTCTACATTTTTTTATCGTTTTCTGGCATTTTTGTAATATTCGGGTTTTAGAAACTACAGGAATAGAAGCTTTTAACAAAATATTTTTATTTTCTGAGCTAAAATATCAGATACTTAACTTACAGTTGGCTCCTTTGATAATGTATCTGGTTTAAGCTTATGTTTTATAAGAAAATAGCTTTTCGTGACGTCTTCATATGTTACCATCACTACTGCTTTTAAATTTCCTTAAACTTAAGAATATAAGACAATTTTTGCTCTAAATTGAAATCTACCTCTGCTTTCCTCTTGCCTCACCAAATTACACAGTGCTATTAACTTCTATGTAATCACAGGATTTATATTTTTTGATTTTAGCTTCCATATTTCTTTGGAAAGCTCAGAGTCATTTTTATATTTGGGTGCATTTAAAGATTTAAGATGGTATATTTTAATTTAAATATGGTTTCACTTATACCAAAATAAAATTTATTTTTAAATTGAGGAATTCCAGAACTTACGGTGGCTTGGTACCGGGTGACCACGCAACTGCGTAACGCTCAAATTTAAAGCTCTATCGATGCTTGTAGATATCCGTGGATCTATTTGCTTACAAATTACGCAATGATATAAACACAGAAATAAAAAAAAACGTAAAAATTAAAAAAATTTAAATAAAAAAGATCTGCAAGAATCAAAAATATGAAGCATTCTGCAAATGTTGCAACCGGATAAGACTACATTAGATATCAAAAATGCTTTTAACTGCTCCAGAACAGCAATTTTTTCGAGTAAGAAAACTTTTTCATGAAACAAAGATATCAAACAACGTTTTAATAAGCCAAAACCTTTGAAACGATCACCTCAGCTTTAAAGGTCTGTCAAAAGATAAGTCAAGCAAAATCCATTGCGCTCCATCCGCCAGTTGGCAAGGGAAGCCAATGTTGCCAACTCAAAAATGCAAAAAGTTATGAAAGATTTGAAACTTAAATCCAAAGCTGTTGTGACTAAGCATCTTATCACTAATAAACAGAAAGAGCGATGTAAAAAAGTAGGAAAGAGCGATGTAAAAAAATTTTAAAATGGCAGAAATCTTACCCTGGGCGTGTGACAATCTTCTCTGATGAAAAACTTTTCACTGTGGATAAAGTTACTAATCGTCGTAACATAAAGTACCTTAGTACTGCCAAAACAGAAAAGAAAGTCCCTGAGTATATCAGTTATTTATTTTCATCAAAAAAACCAGCTTCTGTGATGATACTTGGCGTGATAGCAAGTGATGAAAAAAATGTGTCTACCAGTTTTTGTAAAAAAAGGTCAAAAAATTGACAGTGATCAGTATATCTCTCTCCTGCAAGAGAAGGTCATTCCCTGGTTAAACAAAAACTACAGATGGTCAGTATGTGTTTCAGCAGGATGGGGCACTAGCTCATACTTCAAAAAAGACACAAAATTTTCTAAGTGAAAACATGAGTCAGTACTGGGACAAATTAAACGGGCTCCCATCTAGCCCAGTTTTGAATCCATTAGACTTTTTTACGGCTTTGGAGAAAAAGGCTTGCAAGATTCCCGGAAGTACCGAGTCACTAAAAGAATCTATATCCAAAGCATGGGCCAAAGTTTTCTTTCTGATATCTGATGCAGTCTTATCCGATTGCAATATTTTCAGAATGCTTTATCTTTTTGATTTTTGCAGATCAATTTTAATTAGTTTTTTTTTAATTTTTACGTTTTTTTTTCATTTCTGTGTTGATATCATTGCGTAATTTGTAAATAAATAGATCCACGGATATCTACAAGCATATATAGAGCCTTAAATTTAAGCGTAACTCAAATTTAAGGCTCTATCCATTTTTTATATCTCTATTTGTTGACATAATTTTATAGAGGGTCACTGAATGTTTGACATGTTGTTTACAAGGAGAAGGGAGGTAAAAATTGCCAAAAAAATTATTGACGTAAATACATAAATAATGGAAAGCCCCTATATATATGTATATATATATATATATATATATATATATATATATATATATATATATATATATATATATATATATATATGTATATATATATATATATATATATATATATATATATATATATATATATATATATATATATATATATATATATATGTATATATATGTATATATATACATATATATATAAATATATATATATATATATATATATATATATATATATATATATATATATATATATATATATATATATATATATATATATGTATATATATATATATATTTATATATATATATATATATATATATATATATATATATATATATATAACGCTAACCCTAACCCTAACCCTAACCCTGATAGGATAATAATAATATTTAAGATAATAAAAGACCAGATTATCTTTAAAAAAAGTTTACTTTAAATTATTCAAGAACTTATATTTTTTATTTTACTAAAATTTTAAACGAACCTTTTCAGTTTATAACATATATCAAGCAACAAATTGTGAAAATATTTCCCTGAACTTTTGCTTTTTATCTTTACTTCATATATATTTTTTATTTTATCACATCATTATGGCATCATTTTTTTATGTTTATTACTTTAATTACTATGAGGGCAATGAAACTCATTTTATCGTATGCAGCAATAATTAAAATATTTTCAAAGTTTTTGTTATGTTAAGATTCATTCAGTCAAAATACTATCTGTATTTTGACTGCATAATAAATATAAGAGCCTACGACTTTAAATAGTATAATATATATATATATATATATATATATATATATATATATATATATATATATATCAGTGCCGTGCCAAAAGCCCCCAAACCCCCCGGTTGGGGGGGGGGGGCTAGGAACTTGAAGGGGCCCTTTTTGAAAATTAAAATTATGATATAGGTGTTTTTTATTTATTTATAATATTAAAACTTCGTATTAACGTTTGCTTATTTTTTCAAATTTGGTAAATCTAACAGAATGATGCATATATTGACATGCATACAATGATGATTGTATTGACTGGCGAATACAAAGGAGGGGGTGGGGATTAGCCCCCAAAGAACTATCAAACTTTACATTTTTAATAATAAAAATTTAAAAAAAAAAAGGAAAATTAAAAATATGCTGTTTTAAAGTTATACACACATTTAATATATATACCGTATAATCTCTCTAATTCGAATCTCCTTAATTTGAAAACCTCCATAAATCGATTAAATGCAAAATCACCGTGAAATACCCTTATGTGAAAAAAACTTTCTGTAATTCTAAAATTACTCTAATTCGGTTTTTTATTTTCCCCATTTTTGTTCGAATTAGAGAGATTGTACTGTATATATTTGCCAATATATAAACATTGTAAATGATCAAATGAAATAGTTGTTTAACCTAAAAAATAGGGCCCTTTTTTTTGTTGTTGTTCCGACTATCCTTCATTAGGACCAATCAGTGACCTGGATTCGCCATTGATTGTATTGCTGAGTTAGTGGACGTTTTATTTTAGTAAAACTTTCGTTTAAAAAGTTTTGTTTTTGTTTAGCTTAGTTTAATCTTAGTTTAGTTAAATCTTATGAAAAAGATGTTTTGTATTACTAAATTAGTCTACGCAGCGCAAAGATACAGCTGCCGATTTTTAATTTAAAAAGAAATCTTTTATTCAAAAGATTGCCTGCCTAGGCCAAAACCCTCCGTCTATGTATGTACGTTCCACTACACCAATCCTTAGATAGTCAGTCGATGTATACACACTCCACTTTGCCAATTTCTAGATAGTCAGTAGACGCGTGTACACTAAATTGTGTTTACCCCTATATCAGTATACAAGTATATATTTGCAACCTATAAAAAGAAACAATCAGATTTCGTTACTTGCTGAATTCCGATTGGTTCATTAATAGTCACAATGACTATTAGTGACTTTAGGCACAAAAATTAAAGCAACAGTACCATTGCGCTAAACACAGCGTTTAGTTAAATTACAAAACATCAAATTATTATTTAATTCGAATTTTTTTTGCTTTTCTTCTTACTTTTAATTTTATCGATAAAACTTTAAAGGTTGACAGTTCTTAGGGGGTGCGGGTGGGGCGACGAGGAAGGAGTGATTTTAAAAACAAATTACCTCCTCCTTAACCAGGGGACGGGCTTAACGTGTTAAAAAGGCCCAAAATTTTTTTTTTGGGGGAGCCTACCAACTGTCTAGCACGGCACTGAAATATATATATATATATATATATATATATATATATATATATATATATATATATATATATATATATATATATATATATATATATGTATATATATATATATATATGTATATATATATATATATATATATATATATATATATATATATATATACATATATATATATATATATATATATATATATATATATATATATATATATATATATATATATGTATATATATATATATATATATATATATATATATATATATATATATATATATATATATATATATATATACAATAAATATAAGAGCCTACGATTTTGAATAGTATTTATATAATATATATAATAAATATTAGAGCCTACGATTTTGAATAGTAGAATAATTATCTTTATTTTGTCTAAAAATTGTTTTGTTTTTTTATTACTACTAACTATTGAGATAATTTTATTCTTCGAAAACATTTATTATTTATAATATTAGTAAATATTGTTATATTTTTTTATACCACATTTGCTTTGTTTTCAGTTTTGTGTTTCAAATATTGATGGTAAATCGTCTGTAAACTTTATATATACACAAGGATATCAAGAATCTCTTAAGGTTTTTAATTATGTTTTCTTTTTTTCGGTGAGGATGTAAAAATGCTTTTTCAAAATAAATCTTTGACATTAAACTTTTTTGTTTTTTGGTAATTTATCACTTTTTAAGACAACAACGACAACGGGTGATTTATATATGGGTGTTGGGCAAAATAAAACTCTGCCAAAAGATGATGGGACCTTAACACCTGAAGATTTGCTTAGTTTTTCTTGGCAAGTGGCATCAGGAATGGTATTGCTAAGTTGCTTTTGTTTATACGATTGTTAATACTTTGTTGTATCATGATTTTTGGGTATTTTCAGGAATTTCTTTCATCTTCTAAATTGGTTCATCGAGATCTGGCCGCTAGAAATATTTTGGTCGGACCTGGAAAAATTGTAAAAGTATCTGATTTTGGTCTTACTCGAAAAATTAATGATGAATTAACCTACATGAGCAAGAAAAAGCGTCGTTTACCAGTAAAGAGGATGTCTGTTGAAGCCATATTTGACCAGAAGTTTACATCATTTAGCGATGTGTAATTTATGTCAATATATTAATTTTATAAATTTTATTTGATCCTGCAAGTTTTTAAAACTAAGGTCTTATGATAAATGTGCATTTTTTGTCTTTTTTTTTTTTGTTAATTTAACTAGTATTTTTTGTATTTTAGGTGGGCATATGGAGTTGTATTATTTGAAATTGTAACTTTAGGTGAGAGTAATAACAGTTTTTATTATATGAATTTTAATGCAGCAAACTTTTTTTAATTTTTGAAACTATTTTGTAGGAGGTACGCCTTATCCTACAATAGGTAACCGTGAACTTCTCTCTCTTTTGAAATCTGGTTATCGAATGGATAAACCTGAAAATTGTTCTGAATCAATGTAATTTATTTTAGTTTAATGCTCTGATTTATTAACCATTGTTTTTTGTTTTATATAAGTATTTAATACAATTATAGGTATGATATTATGTTGCAGTGTTGGAATGAGGATCCATTACAACGTCCAACTTTTACAACACTACGTGAGCATTTTGATGAAGTATTGTCTCAAGGTGGTTGTTATCTCAACTTTGAATTCAACGAAAATAGTGTGTCCTCATTTTTGCCGTATGAAACAGATAATGATGACGATAACACAGTAGAAGACGGAATTTTTAACAAACCTGTACACATAAAGTCAACTGAGGAAATGAAAAATCTGGAAGAGCCCATTCTTCCATTGTACAATAGATATACAAATATTTAATAAAATCCACCAACTTAAATAACTTATTTAATGATCGAAAATCAAACTTTTACTTTTGCTTCATATTATTGAAACATGCGGTCTTTGATTATGTGTTTGATTATGGTTTTGAAACATTGCGTTGTATTCTGCGTAGTTTCAGAAAAAAATAGAAGTTAATAAAGACAATTATATTTATCTTCACAAAACCATTTGAATTGGAATTATAACTAATCTTTTATATTTATTTATTTGTTATAATTGTTTAACATGCTTTATCAAAATGTATTTCATATTTGTTTTGATCATAATAGTTAAACAAGAACTAATTTCATGGAGAAAAAAACTAAAATGTTACTTGAAAAAAAAAAATACAAATGGTAGTATTTATATGGCACCCTGAGCTTGAACAAGGTCAAACTTGCCAAAATTAATACACAAATATTGACTTAAAGGAATTAAAAAAAAAAAAACGTGTGAGAATAAAGTGATACCTAATCATATTTACACAAGTTAAAACTGTTTAAAATTATTTCTCCTTCTTGTCATTTTGTAAGAGACACTATTTTGTATTTATGTTCTTAGGTTCTTAATAATAATTTTGCAGTTTTTAGTTTGAGCATATATTGAAAATAGTATTGTAAGCAAAGTTTTGTCACTTCAGTGGTCAAACATAAAAATGCTTTATGCTTAATTGCAATACTGAGAACAATATTTGCAAAAGTATTAAAAATACATAACTTTTTTCAATTTTCTTTAAACTCTATCAATAAGTTTTTTTTGCAATACTTGTGACATTTTGTAATATTTTTAGAGTAGCCACAACTTCTCCCTTTTTTCAAAAGCAATGCATTTGAAGGAAAAATTTGACGAGATGCCTCATTACCATGTCAGATTATTGAATAGCATTTGTTAAGTATTGGGGATCAGGCTGAAAACTTTTTATTTCAATTATTTTTATTAACAGAGTGCAAATAGAAAAAGATTGGATTAGTACTACTAAACTTTTAAACTGCTACCTCTTTAAAGAAGAAGCAAACATATAGACATTCTATTTTTATATTGTGAGATGTATTTATAAAAGCAATCCAAAAATGCTCACAATAACAGGGAGTTTGTTAGTTAGATAAATTATGTCTACAGTTCTATTTAAAGAGAACTGTAAAGTAACAAAAAGTATTAGTTGGAAAAATAATAATTGTTAAAATCGTAACAAAAAAAATCATAAAGTATTTTGGTATCCTGGTATTACCAGGGTTTATTTTGTAGTACTAAAATCAGTTGCAATATTTCCAGATCTTTTTCACAGTTCTTCAAATAGAACTATTTATGACCTTGCTTATCTTAAAGTTTTATAAACTTTTGGAACATTTTTAAGTTTAAATGTGTGCTCTAATGCTAAGATTTAAAGGTTGGCAAGATTCTAATCCATTGTTTATTCAAATCATCTTTATTAAACTCCATTTATGTGAGTTTTTTACCAATTCAAAGTCTATTAATGATAAACAGCGAAGTCTATTAATGATACTAGGCTTTGCTGTTAATCATACTTTTCTTCGTTTCAATGAGCACTTTTTTGTTGACTTTGTTTGAGTCTTATAATGTCTGAGACTTAATCTGAGCTTGGCATGTCATATTTAAGTATAGAATTTTTTTTCAACCAAAAATGAAAAATTGGAAATCTAGATATCAGGACTTGATTTTAAAATTAAGTTAACTTTAAATTAATTTAAATTATTTTTAATAAATATTTTTATTATTTTTATTTAATTATTATATTTTATAATCATATATATATATATATATATATATATATATATATATATATATATATATATATATATATATATATATATATATATATATATATATATATATATATGGTTATAAAATATAATAAATAATAATTAAATAAAAATAATAAAAATAATTATTAAAAATAATTTAAATTAATTAAAAGTTAACTTAATTTTAAAATCAAGTCCTGATATCTAGATTTCCAATTTTTCATTTTTGGTAGAAAAAAAATTCTATACTTAAATATGACATGCCAAGCTCAGATTAAGTCTCAGACATTATAAGACTCAAACAAAGTCAACAAGAAAGTGCTCATTGAAACGAAGAAAAGTATGATTAACAGCAAAGCCTAGTATCATTAATAGACTTCGCTGTTTATCATTAATAGACTTTGAATTGGTAAAAAACTTATTTCATATAAAAAACGTTTTTGTAAATATATATATATATATTTACAAAAACGATTATTTATATGAAATAAATAACCCTAACCCTAACCCTAAGCCTGACCTTGCTGCCTGGCCAAACCAAACTCTCGTCGATATAGCAGCACTCCCTTGCGAGTCAGGCTATTTGTCAGTCGATGTATGTACTTTTCGTTTTGCATAAAAACTATTTACGGGGATATTTTTTTTACAAAAAAAACGCTATTTACGAGAACAAAAAAATATCGAGTACATTAAAATGTCCCCGTTACTGCTAATGTCCTCGTAAGTATCCAATTTAATGTAAAACCTGTTCTTGAACATGCTACTATATGAATATATATATATATATATATATATATATATATATATATATATATATATATATATATATATATATATATATATATATATATATATATATATATATATCGATGTAATTAATAAAGATTTTGAGTCGTTAAGCGTTGATATTATAGGTTATTTATAGGTTATTTTTTGTATACGTGCAATAAACCGGATCGGATCAGGATATTCAATTAAATAACAGTTCGTAATCCGAATCCGTTTCCGAATATTAAAAGAAAAACTGATCGGATAACCGGTCCGCTTTTTCCGGTTCGGATATCCAAATTTTCGGATTTTTTAAAATGGATATCACAACGGAATTTCGGATAACCGGTTTTTCGGATATTTTTGCTCACCCCTAACGTTACATAGGTTTGTATATAATCTTTATAAAACTTTTGAGTTATTTTGTATTTTAAAATAATGGAAAAAAGTTTTTAAAAAATACCCGCCATCAGTAGGAATCAATCCTCTCGTTTTTTGTTCAGATGTTCGACGCCTTATCCTCTCGAGCTACGCGAGCATACCATTTTGCATATATTTTTTAAAATAATGTAATAATTTTTTTGAGGGAAAAATGTTATAGATCAAAATTAAACAGAGCTTTACGCAATGTTATTTCAAGTGACAATCAAACTGTAAAACTTGATAACTGTCTCAGTATGTTTTAACATATGCTTTATTATTACTTAGTTTAAAGTTTACGTACGTTAGATATTCGTTCACGTTTTCTTATAGTGCTTCAAGGGACACTATTAAAACTAAGTTCGGCATTATTATATATATATATATATATATATATATATATATATATATATATATATATATATATATATATATATATATATATATATATACATATATATATGTATATATATATGTCAGGGTTAGGGTTAGGGTTAGGGTTATATCAGGGTTATATGTATATATATATGTATATATATATATATATATATATGTATATTTTTTAATCAATTTTTTTTACTTACTATAATCAATAGAATTATGATTTATTTTTCAAATTATTATTATTATTATTATATTTATTATTGTCATAATATAATTGTATTTTTTTTTTCTTTTTTTTTTTTAACATCTTTACTTCCAACAAGGCTGCAAGCAACCACTATAAGAGTTGGAAGTTACTGGAAGAGAAAAGACTAAATCTGTAGAGCAAGATAACGATTGACTGATGACTTAAAAGATTGCAAATTATATGAATCAGGAAAGCAAGATGAAGGAAGCGAATTCCAAAGAACTGATGTTTGAGGAAAAAAACTAGAAGAATAAGAGTTTTTGAAGCACTTAGGAACAGTCACAGAAAAAGGATGAGACTTAATTGAATGGCGAGTAACACGAGAATGAATTTTAGTAGATGGCACAAGGGACGCTAGCTCTTTAGAGCAGTGCCCATTATAGTATTTGTAGAAAAGAGAAAGAGAAGCAACATTACGACGATGTGACAAAGGTTGGAGATTGGCTGCCAGAGCAGGTCCAACTATGTTTACTATTCGTTTTTGCACCTTGTCTAAAAGAGAAAGAGCATCATTAGAAGATCCGCCCCAGATGTGGCAACAGTATTCCATACAGGGACGGATTTGAGATTTATAGAGATAGAGAATAGAATCTGGAGTAAGAAAGTGTCGAGCTCGATAAAGAGATGCAACCTTAGCAGATGCTAATTTTGCAATGGATTTGATATACGGTTTAAAAGAAAGATCAGAAGTAAGAGTTAATCCTAGAAGATGAATGGTAGATGACTCATCTAGTACATTACCATTCATAAATATAGGAAGATCTAAATTATTACGATAACGATTGGCCGAATAAAATTGAGTTTTATCTGAACTTAAGTTCACCAGCCACTGTGAGCCCTATGCTGTAGCAGAAGTGAGATCCTTTTCAAGCTCAGATACCCCCTCCAAGCAATCAGAGAGTGTAGGCTTCTTATCATGACAAGAGTAAATGGTAGTGTCGTCAGCGAATAATGCCACCTTAGATGTGAGAATATCTGGAAGATCGTTAATGTAAATTAAAAAGAGTATAGGGCCAAGGATTGAACCTTGAGGAACCCCTGAAGTTACAGGATGTGAAGAAGAGTGTTGTCCATCGAGGACAACTTTTATACTACGATTGGAAAGAAAGGACTCAATAATCTTAAAGACGTTACCAGCTACACCATAAGAAGAAAGCTTAAGGAGAAGACCAGCATGCCAAACTTTATCAAAAGCTTTAGAAATGTCAAGTGCGATAGCCTTAACCTCTCCACCTCTATCTAATGCACGGTAAAACCTATCGGTTATTAATGTTAGCACATCAGCTGTAGAACGAGAAGACCGAAATCCATATTGATGATCAGAAAGTAAATTATTTGATTCAAGATGCGAGATTAAGTGTTTGTTGATTGAAGATTCAAAAACCTTGCTTATGACAGGAAGAAGACTAATGGGACGGTAGTTAGATGAATCAAATCGCTCTCCGGAATTTTTGAAAATAGGGATAACAGATGCTGCTTTCCAGCATGATGGAAAACAAGACTCTGATAAGCACTTGTTAAATAGTTTAGAAAGTATGGATGAAAGCTCCGGAGAACACCTCTGCAAG